GCAAAGGCATCTCGTGTTGTTTGTTGGTATCTTTAGTTACCGAAAAAAACAACACTCGGCACGGCAGAAACGTGACAGAAAGTTGGCGCGATAATTCCAGATAATCAGAGGCTAATCAATCGCATCAACCTGTTTCGTTATTTAGAGAATTTAGAGAATATATATATATGTACCACTTATTGTATAACAATATAAACATTGCTACATTGTTATTCTGTGTAACGGATTTTTGCATCTCATAACACGAATATCTCTGCGAAATGATGTGCCGTGGGACTACGTCACGCTGAAAATTTTCCCAAGATATTCTCGGGTGGAAAGCAGCCAAACTCTCGCAGAAGCTGCTTATGCACACAGATCTTCCGCCTCATCATGTGACCGTCCCGTAATTTTCGCGATATTAAATTTAGTCGCCGACAGTTAATTCTCGACAAAATTTACAATCGCACGATCCAATTTTTCTTTTCTTCTTTGCAGCTTTTATCGAGCATCGAGAAGTTGCGATGACACGGAAATTCTTAAGGCTTCGTGCAAAGACAGGCTTAGCGAGTCTTCGTAATACCTCGCCTTACACACAAGGGGCCTCACAGTTGTGCAATGTAGTCACCATGTTGTTATGACGGTGATGACGATGACAATGCAAGGCCAAATGTCCTAAATCGCGCAACAGCTGCTTAAGGTCATTGCGCTCTAAACAGACTATTATTGATCCGTTCGAGTTATTTTTAACCTACGTATCGTATTTGTGTCGTGCATAATATGTGTATTATTACGTCACATTTTTTTATTCTATATATATATATATTATATTAAAGTTTATATCATACATGTTCCAAGAACCGTTACCTTTTTGAAGTTGTTGTAATCGTAGCTTCATTGTAAAAAGATAGATTGTTATATTGGAGACATTCCAAATCACGACTCTGATGGAAAGTATAAAATATAGTTTTAATTATACTAACTGTTTTTACTTTCTAGTAGTATCTTTTCCGTCTTTCACTCGTTTCCTTCTCATTTTAACGCGGCCACGTTGATTATGTGGCGAATGTGAATAATGGGAAAAATACGCGAAGAGAAGTGACAATTAGTGAAGAGAATCAAAAAGAAATCGATGCGGAAAAATATAACTGTATATTATAATAATAATGCATTCTAGACATTGAAAATATCTTAATGCTTCCTTTTATTATTCTTTCGACCTTTCTTATTTCTTCTGCCGTTTTTCTGACGTTTTCTATCAAGCAGCTTGCGTGCCTTCAAGATTTGTTCGGGTCTCTTCAGTTCGCTCTTTACTTTAACTTTATCTTTAAGTTTCTGGTTGTGTCGTGCCCAATGTGTATTTGCTGTGGTGCGCACTAAAATGCAAAATAAAGCATGCCAACTATTTTTATGAATACTTAAACGGATTTGTAAAAAAAGAGAGATTTATAAATGTTGTAATCAGATTAAAAACATTTAGATTGACTATTTAAATTTTTCAAAATTGTGGAATGCGACTATATCAATACATCAATAAAGCGACTATATCAATAAAGTCAACTTACAATTCTTCATCTGCGAAGATTCTTCTTCGCTGTCATCTTCGATATTATCTTCGATCTTGCTCTTTTCTTTCCACATGTTGTAACGATTTGTTTTATACGTAGCAGGTATCCATACACCTGATTCCGTGCGTATTTTTTTCGCTTTCGGATCCTATTGCATGGAAAATAAACAATATAGAAAATAAATTCACTCTTCATAACAAAGGCGTTATATATGAAATTAGTGTATATACCTTTTCGATGGTAACCATTTTTTTCTTCTTCCTATCCCACTTCTTTAATTGTGTTTGGAGATGTCGACTCTCCTCGTTGTCTGCGGTTAAATCCATCTGTGCTTTATCAGCTTCGGTGGCAAATGTGTTAACCGCTAAACTAAAAGGCATAACATCAAATTATCATTTGAATACAAATAATAATCGAAAATTGAAAACATAAATTATTAAATGACTAATTTAATTTAAAATTTAATATAAAAACAATAATGTTAATATTTACTTATATTTTCATAATAATTTTGATGTGAGAGATATAAATTGTATATAAAAATTGAAATATGATGCAATAGTAATTCTTACCCATCCTCGGTATGCTTATCTGGTGCGAAATAAGGTATGTAATATTCTTCATCTCGTTTCATTACACGTTTCTTTTTCTTTGAAATTTTATATAGATCATCACTACTTCTTTTCTTTGGAACTACCACCGTGTTAAACGCGGCATTAATCTCTTCTGCGTTACTAGATGGCAAATTGACTTTCTGAGACAATTCTATAAAAATTGAAAAAAAATCAAATCATGAATATTATTCATATAAATATATAATACATTTTATTATCACAATATTCACCTGATGCAGTATTTATTTCATTGATTTTACGTTCCTCCACTTTTTTATGGAAATTAAGAATGTTCTCTTTGTGAAACACTCGTTTTGTTTTCAT